TTACATTTATATATTTAGATATATATATATAAATATAGGATTTATCTAGCATTTTTTTTTTTTTTTTTTTTTTTTTTGAGAAGTTTTGAAGGAATATAGTTAGCTGATTTTCGATTTTCATGTCAGTGTTTCGCGAAACAACAATTTAAAATATTTGCGAGGGGAAATTCTGCTTAAAAGTTCGTAAGTGTAGTTGGAGAATTTGATTAATTATTAAACAGGAAAATAGTAAAAATAGAAATTACTTAAGCTTTTGCTTTTCCGAATTCTATTGGACCTAATCGGAGCGATTCGTTTTTCTTCATTCAAATCCTATACAGTTTTTTAAATCCTTGATGTTATTGTTACGTACATAATGCGCAAATTCCTATTATGCTATATTTGCTTCTTAATCACAATGGCTAGGATGTGCAGAGCTTTTTGAAAATGCATTTAATAGCTTATTTTATATTTAGATAAACATACCTGGAATGAAAAGAGAAAAAGAAAGAGAAATTAGAAAATGTTTTAATATTAACAAAAAACATATACATATATATATTAATATAAATATATGAATTTTCACAACAACAACGTTTCACATAATCCAAAAATGTTTTTTAAAAGCAAATAAAAAATAATTAAGAAAAATGTTTTTTTTTGGTTTTTGTAACTTTGTTCGCAGAACTAACTATTAAACATAAACTTAACAAATAATATATATTAACCAATAACAACATCAATCAAACGAAGGTCTTATTCTTAATTGTTAATTTCTTTTCATAATTACATCGTAACTGATACGTTCGTAGGTGTATGCAGCACCATGAAATACCTGTTATTACATCAACCAATTTAGGGACATATTCCGAATCGGTTCAATTTTGATGTGCAATAGGGCGCAAATGTGATAGCTAGTTATAAGCTAAGCAGAAACATCAACGATGAAAATGAGGGAGAGAAAAAACTTATTTATGTACTAAAAATATTTTTTAATATTTTTTTCTCGTTAACATAACAACGATGATCGATGAGCGCCTAATTTTGTACTACTTTTCAATTTTTCAACTTTTGACCTTCAAAAAAAAAAAAAAAAAAAATGCTCATAAGTGATGTAAAAGAAAAAAGTTTTTATATGGAAGGACCTTTAACTCTTATTTTGCTACGCGATGTCTTTGAGTCACTTTGGAGCCTTGAAAGTACATTTATAGAGAATGCATGGCTTAACTATAAGATTTTATGTTTGTATAAAATTTATAAGATATAAGATTTTATTGTTTAAACCCTACACCACTTGCGATATAAAAGTATATTAAGTATGTACAGAATACTTGGAAAGGCTTAGGATAGACCCACCACAATAACTTTCTGAATCACTTTCTAAATCGCTCTAGCCCTTCATCGGTCTGAACCGCCTGATATTTTTGTATTCAACCTACAAGTCAAAGTATTTTGATGAAATTTGGTACGCCGGTGTGTCTACCAAGAACGGTTCGAACCGGATAACTTTTTCGACCACTTTCCATATTTTAAAAAATCGCCATATAACTAACAGTGTTAGGAGAACACCTTGGCCATTGCCCACTTCTATGTTTTACTTGTCTTGCTATGAGCAAAAACGATCAAATTTTAAATGAGAATCACATCTGGTTGTGATGCGCTATATAAAAACTTGGCAAGACCAGGATTGAATGGCTATTGTCGGTTTTTTTCGACCCGATCCAACTTTTGAATCACCGGTGACATCTACCTATTTCTACCAAAATATTTATGGTATAATATGTATTGTATCGCCACGCCGGCAAGCATAATTATAGGAAAATAGACATTTCTTGATCACTTAAGAACTCAACGTTAGGAAATGAAAGTAACTCTTCCATGCTCACACGCATACCCCCAATATTAAAGAAACTCAGACAATTTTGAGAACATTGAAACATCGAGAACTTTTTCATATTTTCATCTACATTGTATGGCGCGGTTAACATATTTCCGCAAAACTGCTAACCAGATATTCACCACAATCACCTGCATGTTCGATGTAAAGACGGTAGCAATTCGTTTACTAACTTCAAATTTATTTTCAATTTATTCATAAGTGGACCAAGAACGTACTAATATGTATTACCATACATTGGAAACAAACTGGAAATATACTGGAGTTGCAGTGTTATCATTGTGTTGATATAGACGTTACCGGAGGCTTTTAATTTAGCAAAGTCTTTGGAATTATCCGTGTTAGGTATGACAGCGAAAGTATATTTCAAGTTCACGGACCGACATTTCGCCATATCTACGAGTAGAGAGAGTTCCAGCAAGTTTCAAATTCCTTTCACCTTAAATATTGCAAAGTGACGGAAGATATATTGAACTGCATACAGGCGCCATGATTGGAGAATTTACTTCTTGCACAATTAGGTTAAATGATTTTTTTCCGTTTCATAAATAAAACATATTTTTGTACAAATAACTGGTAAAGTTTTCTTAAGATACTCAATACGCTATAAAGCATTCTCTTTATAATATACTATACTATTATTTATACTTGTGTACACTTGTGACGCTCGTTTGTTTTGTGCTTCCGATAAATCATTTATATATAAAAAAAAAGGGATTTTCATGTTCCTTAGATAATTTCGCACGTTCGTCATTATTTATTGTAAAAGTCAGCGGAAAGTTAACTTGCTCATATTCGTGATCGTAAATATAAATCGCGTACGCAAGATAGCCATTTAGAAACACCTATAAAATGCAGAAAGAAAGCTATTAAATATATTTGCAATCGCTTTAAGCATTTAACAAAGATCTTTATGCGAATGCAAATGAAGGCGTTTTATGACTAAGACGTTTCGGTTCCAAAATAATTACAAAAAAAAAAAAAAAATCCATCTTTGGCAAAAGATGAATCATTGCTATTCATCGCCAAACAACATCATAATATGATGCAAACGAGATCTGTGTCATGATTGTAATTTTGTATCGCAAACACATCGCTTAATTAGTTAAGTATTGCAAATACGTTTAATCATAATTCGTGTCACTCATCCAGCTTATTGCCTTTTCATATGGGATTTGTAACTTTGTAAATTTTGCAATTGATGTGTAGTATGCGTTTACAGCTTTCACCTTTTTACCCCATGCTCAGTTAGGGAATCTTTGATGTTTTACTGACATAAATGTGTAAAAGTAATTTTTATTCCCATTAATTGAAGACTACACCACTTGCGGTCCAGGGTACGTTCGTGAGGACCTATGTAAGGCACAGAAGTGCTTAAGATAGACTGATCTTTTATTGAACTGTTCTTTTCGACCACTTCCCATATAACGCCCTATTTTTGGCATTCTAATTTGGTTTGACTTTGAACTCATACCGGGTCGGGCCATCCTTTGAACCCCCCTCATATACAACTAGAGGCAAACAGGTCTAATTTTTAACGCTTCATGATGAAAATCAGATCGAAATAGTAATTTAAAATAAAAAATTTACTGTGCCATATATGAACCATCTAGGCCTATTTTTGGATTCTACCCTATATAGGGATTTTTGTGAACATTTTTTTATTTTTTAGGGCAGAAAAAGTTTAAGTTTTAACACGTTATGATAAAATGTAATCCGTCATAATAATTTGATATAAAAATTACTTTAACTCTTTAAAATTTAAAATACTTTTCCCATCAAATTCTAAAATTTATTCCAAGTATCAACTAAGCTGAATAAAAAATTGTTAAGCGCAATAGATTGCCATCAGTTGAATAACATTCAATAGCAACTCATCTTTATATGAGATCTTGAAGTCTATTGCGTGATCATTCGTATTCTCCTTTTGCTGATAAAAGGAACTGTTCTGTTAGACTAAAACATGAGTTCGAAACTTTAAAGAAATTATAACAGAATCTTATTGAAGCAAGCAGAAAACGGAGCATGTGTGATAAAGATCTAAAGATCATCTAAAAATGAATGCTACTGCTGCACTTAGTTTTTCGAAAGGTTAGTGTCCGCTTGTCCCAGCAAAAATAAAATATGCCTAAGCATTTTTAATAAAATTATTGGTATAGAAAACATGAAGATTTTTGGTTAGAATCAGTTAATAGTGGTTCCCAGGAATAAAAATCCAATTTCAAATGGCCTTTGCAAGGCGTAAAATGCATAAATTTCGTATTTTTTTAACATAAATATATGTTGCCAGACTGAATACGTATGTCGTTCAGTGGTTGGCATAAAAATTGAATATAATAAAAATGTCATGCAAACGGTAGATTAATAAGAACAAAAGAAAATCTTATTTCTTAAAACTAGAAATGAAGACGAAAGTAAACAGAAAAATCCACAAACAGGAAACGAAACAAAACGAAAAATATTTTCCACATACCCGTCTCCGTACATGCCCGCTGTACCAGCCATAGCTAACGCCTTGTAACGGGCCTGCTCATTTGTTGGTAAAACAATGTCCACAGAACGCGAACGTGTAGCGTTTGTGTTGGGTACCGTGAGAAAACAACCATCTTCATGCGCTTGCAATTCTTCCGTTTTATTGCCTGAGGACACTTTTGAGAAACACGAATCGACTGAGGCAGCACGATCACGCTTTAAATCAGGTACAGTTAAGTAAATATCACGAACTACCAGAGTATGCTTGGCTGATGTCGGTGAACCGCAGGTGGCCATTGTCGAAATCTCATCTACTGAATCGATGGCATCTACTGAAGATTTATGTTTTTCTTCTTGCGATACATTTTCGAGTGAATTGCCAGTAGGCTCTACAAAAATGGCTTCTTGTCGTGATATTGAACGTCTGCGGGGTCGTTGTGTAGAAGGCGAAGCAAGTGCTGCGGCGGCCGACGATTCGTCGTTAATTGCTGTAGAGGCAGGTTGAGTGGTTGTGCTAAAGGCGGGCGGAGGTGGTAAAGGCAAATCGAGTGCAGGTGTTGGTGGCAGTAATTCTAAAGACGATAACGGCGGCGGCGGTGGTGGTAGTTCTAGCATAGGACTACCGCAAATCGACAAAGATAGTGCGGGTGAAGGAGGGGGTGAACCCGGTTCAATTGGAAATGTAGATGGAAAGGGCGGGTAATCATCGTTAGTAGGCGAAAGTGTAAAAGTAATGCCGCAAAGTTTTGTAGGCGGTGGCGGGAGAAGCGTATTACCAAAATGTGGTGATCCATGGTCAGATTCTTCGAGACCTTCGTCTTCGGATGTAGTCACTGAACTACCAATTGTATGTCTACGCATTTGTCGCGGCATACGAGTACGGGATTCGTCTAAATGGCCACCAATGCCACCCAAACGAATATCCATTTCTAAAGCGGCGTCATCATATACATCTATAATGCCACCCACTTGCTCATCTTCACCGCATTGATTGACATCTTCATCGGTGGCATCATCATCGTCGTCGACATTATCATTGTCAGCATCTTGATCGTTATCATCTTCACTAGCCTCCGAACTCGTGAAACTATAACTTATCGTGCTAACATCACGATCAGCTAAAAGGTAATGTTGCTCTTCGTTTCGCTGCCGCTCGAACTCTTCCAAATAGTAACAATGTATACAAGGAGGGGGAGTTTTCGTCGATGAGCTGCGACGACTTTTGGCCGAATGTCGTGGAACTTCCAGAAACGTGCCAGAATCATCACTACCCACCGAAGCCGCAGCCGAATCGAATGAATGCGAGCGTTGGGCATGTGATGCTTGTGGTACTTTTAAAAAGCCACCAGCCGAAGAACGTTCCTCTTCCAATGCAGACATACGTTGCGCTTCCAGTTGCATTTCATCAAAAGAAGCTGAACGTACCTGCGGTCGCGACGAAATAAAGAAATAACATTCGAAATAGAGAAAGAGAGACAGAGAGAGAGAGAGAGAGAAAGAGAAAAATTTTTCTAATTTACTCTTATTCGCAGAAATTTTTAATTGCAAAAGATCTCTTAACAAGAAAGCATGCAAGACTTATGAAGAAAATCATCAGTTGAAAGCTTAAGCTACAGCCAGCCGTAGGTAGAGGAAGCTATTCAGTGTGTTATTGTTTCATAAAAGGAATAATAAACGAAGACACCTATGCGCGCCCAGGTAGCCATTCATTATTCAAATCGCATGACACGCTTCATAGCGCACATTAATATTTTCAAAAAGGGAAACAGTAAATAAATAAAATGTAAAGTAATACACTGTGACGTGAAATGCGATATGAAATCCATTATCATCATTATTATAATCATTATGGACATCATCGCAGTAATGGTATTGTAATGCTGCACGCTGACACACATAGCGAAATGGTGTTGATATGTCAGATGTCAATGGGGGATTTGCATGTCATAAAATTGTTGTTGTTCACATTGCTTGTCCTTTTCTTTTTTTGATGTTTTTTAAACCTTTTTTTTTTGCACCCCCCCCCCCCCTACTTTATTGTATGTGCATAGCTACGAACAAATGACACACAGAACCTCACATAACGCTTGTTCGGTAATGTTGGGAAAAAAAAGCGAAAAAGAGAGAAAATCAAAAGAAACGATGAAGCGAGGGATAGTGAACATATAGTAGTCATTCGTTTAAATCACTCACGCGGCGCGGTCATTTAAATTCATGTTTTACATGACTTTAAATCTCGACTTGATTCACTTGCATTACAGCGTAGAGCCTGTTGAAAGTATAATATTACACTTGACGTTTTCGAACATTTTGCGGTCATTTGTTTGCCTCGTTTATCAACAAAATTATCCTTTTGTTTCTCATTTTTTTTTTTTTTTTTTTAGTGCGCGCTAACATTGTCATTGTCATCGTCGTCATATTTCATAGACAGAAAAATGACATCTCTTTGTTAGAAAGAGAGTTCAATAGTTATGAAATAAATGTTATCCCTTTTATCATAAAATCATCAACACGGTACAGCGTAACAAGGAATACAAAAACAAAAACTGCCATTCAGTGTTAGGAATGTTTGATTTAAATTTAATACGGCGCAATGGAAGTGAAGCCATTTTAATGTCCGCACACTTAAGTAAAAGCAGGCGCATAAAGAGCAGTTCTCTTCTTTTTTTTTTTTAGTTATTAGAAAGAAATTTAATTATTGTTAATATGCGGAGCTATACTTGACAATGTTTATGTAGCGTTTTTTTTTTTTTCAAATATGTCAGATGTGAAAATATTACATTTTACTTAACACAAGTCGTGAGGTTTTCACGGAAATACTGTCCGAATTTTTCGGTGATGTGTGCACTAGAAAGACATGATCTATGGAAGAGAATAATTTCTATTATGCTGTCATCTTTAAGGCAAAGTCCAACTTTTCACTTTTTAAAAAGGATCACTGCTTTCCATTACAATTTATTTCTGTGTATTTACCATAAATTTACAACTCATCATTTCTAAGAGACTGTCGACTGACGATAAGTTTGTGTATTTATCAACTGGCGAACAGTTATTCAATTAGTTATTCGATTGAAAAAGTTAGTAATTGTTGAAAAAAATTCGGGAAAACAATTAAAAAATACATTAAAAATGATTTCAATTATGATGACGTACAAAACATATGATGAAAAACAAGTAAAAGCATTGTGTTCGGCTGTGTCTGAATCTTTTATATATCCACCGCCTAGTTCCTTCAAAAAAAAAAAAAGATCGTATTGATACATTCTCCTAACTTCGGATCACCTAGAGAATATATAAATTTTTATTATCGTAGTTTATGACCGATGAGTAGAAATGCAACTTTTTTGCTTTCGAAAACAGAGCTGGTTTTACGTTATATCATATTCTGAGAGTTTCTTTCGGCCTACTTGGCCCTATTTGCCAAACACTAAACTGCTTGCAAGCACTTTCAATGTTTTTGCCAAATTTGAGGACGATGTTACACAGATGTGCAGAGGGGCAGAACGACGGACAGACATGATAAAATCGATTCAAAACTCGATTCTGAGCTACTGATAAGTACGTTTACTTTACAGCTTTCTTCTCACACCAAAGCATTCTTCTTGGCGTTTTAGAGGTTTTTGCAAACTGAATATAAAAGCCCGCTCAATAAATCTTGTGTCAGACACATCTATGCCAACACTGTCGTCAGACCCGTCCGATTTTAGTAGTAGCTAGTACCAGCTTTCCAATTAAACATAGAAAAACAGTTTATGACATTTCGATTATTAGTTGACCAGTTACAGTTGTTTAAGTGATACTACATTTGTTGAATTACGCTTGTGGACCTAACATTGCTTTTCCACGAGAAAAAACACTGCTTGCCATTAGCATTGGTTTAGAAGATGTTATGACAACTCTTCTCCCTCAGAAAGATAAATGCTAATTTTAAATAAAGTCGTACGGCCCCCGATGATGTTGAATCTCTTTTAGCGCCAAAAATCGGCAGTTGCTCGAGGAAACACAAAAAAAAAAAAAAAAAAAATGCGCATAATCAGTTTGTAAAGCGAAAAATTAAAGATGCGTGAGATACATGACACGTTAAAAATGTCAGAAAGCAATGTATTTACTATTTTGCATGAACTCTTGTCCATAAGAAAGCTCTGTTCGACTCTGTGGATGCCGCGTTCATTCACTTTTCACAACAACGTGCTTATGAAGCAGAGCGTTCTTTGGTGCTGTTTAGTCGAAAACAAAAACGATTTTCTCATCCGCTATACGACAATGAATGAAATATGGATTTATCATAACATTGCGGAATCAAACCGGCTTTTAGCCAAGTGGAAAGTAATCAGCGAAAGCTGTCCAAAGCAGCCGAAAAGGTAGCCTCACTAAAACAACTGTAACTTCTAAACTAATGGCGAAAGGGAAACGAATGAAAAAATTTACATATTGTTATGGAATTCGCTTTTTACATACAAGATACAGTCCGTATCACTAGATCGTAGATATTTTGATCAAGAGAAATACACTTCAAAGTTCTTTTCCTTTACAATTATATTTCTTTTAATGTAGGATTATTTACAAATTATTTTTGGCAATACTTTCGACTGCTTAACTCAAATACTCTTTTTCTACTGTTTTGTCTTGCACAAATATTCTATTTATATACATTTTTGTCATCCTATTACTAGCACCTAATTTTATGACTTGACATTTAATTCGTTAACCTGCTTTTATTGGTAACCGTTTTCATCGGCATGCAGCTGCATGAGGCGCCTGCGAATGTGCACTCTGCTTTTACCTGTCTGTTTTTCCAATAATCTTCACTGGCCGCACGAAATCATTTATTTGATCTTAATAGAAAGTTGTACGACACATTTCGCACAGACACAATGACTTTAAGATTTTCAGACAATACTTGTGCTACTCTTGTTTCTCTAAAGAATTGAGAAAATCCGAATTTGGTATGTAGCGTCACTAAAATGATTGTAACTTGTAAACTAATGACCGCAATGTCGTGAGTTTTCGATACATTTCGTTTGCAGTTTAATGCTATCTAAAAATGACATGAATTCGTTAGTAGTCATCCTAACAACTTATTGAGTATTGTATTCGGTGCATAAGATTATTACTTGTAATAATATTTTCAAGTTTAGTTTTTTCTATTCTTGCGATAGGCAATCGTGGGCGTGTTTGCCGCGAATTACATTTAATTTCGGATTTCAGTTTTGGGCTGCTGGTTGTGCTGATGATATCCGGCAGTCCATAGAATGAGAAGGAACAATTAACTTCTCGACGAATCTATTTAAACTCTGAATATCATATCGAAGATATGTTATATAGACGTGTATTGATAGCGCAACTTCATAACCGGGTACGTATCTACTCTTTCCATGTGTTGACGACTGCAGCAAAATTCGCCGAAATGCCGTTAGCTGAAAAACGAACAGACAAACAGATATGAGCGAATATCAATAAATCCTGCAGTGATCTAAAGCCCCTAATGTCGTCGTTTATCGTGTATGAGTACTCAACATCTTTGCGTTATGCACACTGAACGATGAACAATTTCATGGGCATAGGTTATAATATCTCCGCAATGAGCTAGAATTAGGCCTAAAAATTAAGAAATTTCTAGAGGTTTGAGGCTTGAGAAAAGAAATTTCGCTATTCGCAATTCGTAATTCGCAATTTTCGCACTGAGTTCGAACTGAACGCTGTTTTTCGCTGTTTAAATATTTCGATGAGTTAAGTAAAGGCTGAATAAATTGAAAATGTATCTCATGCAAGGTATAATAATTTAAAGGAAAATGATTATGATTTTGATGTTGATGAAAGCAATTCACACCTGTTTTGGAACTTCAAGACTGGTTTGCGTTTTCATTTCAGCTCCTGTTGGAGTACGCGAACGCGTAAATGTTGTACGCAATCGTTGCATATTAATGGGTGTTTGCTCCTCCAAAGCAAAAAATAAAAAAGAAAAAGTCTTTTCTTACTAAAACCACTAAATTTAACACCATTTAAACGTCGTCAACGAATTGTTCTCATTTCGATTATCTCGGTACACTTTTTTTGGTTTACAATTGCGTTGGCAGACTCTTTTACAGTTTCTAAAAGTTTTCATAATTTTTTGTTGCCCTTTTACCGTCAAAGGCAAGCATTGTTGTGGTAATATTAGGAAATTTCGCTTGATATTGCTATTGCTGGTGTTGTTGTCGTTTACGTTGATATTATACCCGACAATTGTAGTTGTTTTCGTTGAAATTTTTGAATCTGGAATTCTGTCAACTTCCATGTTTATGGCGGTGGTAACTTTCATCATTTCAAATTTTCTTGTATACACATCCATATGCGCGCACACACAATGATTCTTGCATTGTACTTTGCATTCGTTGTTCCCTTTAGCTTTACCAATTAAGGCGGCGCTGCATTCTGTTTTTTGTACCAAAATGGGTCTACAGATATTTATATTTCTTTGTTTTTGGTTTCTCGCATCTACGGTACATTCTCATCAGCTGAAAGCAAAAAAATTTTTTTTTTTTTTTTTTTTTTTTTTTTTTTAAAAAATTTTTTTTTATAAAAATTTAAATTAAAAGAAACACTAATGGCGAATGATTATCTGCTTGCATGTCCTTTAATACCTGATTATATATTGAGAGACAACAACAAAATAATGAATAGTTTATTTTTAATCTTTTGCGCTTTTGTCATTTTTATTCCAAGCTATGATTCACTTAAAGGTGCACGCCTAAAAAACAAAGATGATCAACTAGACGCCTGCTATGAAAAACATCGACATACATTGCTATAATAAATTAGACATCATCATGATATTATCTCAAACCCGAGAAATAAGAGTTGAATCAATTAAAAAGTAATTTGTAATAAGTGAAAATAATTGTTTGCTTAATAATGCGCGTGAACGCTTAAACGAATCACATGTAAAAACATTTCAAAATATTTCCCCAGTCTACGGCAATCTGGCCTTAAGGAGTACAAATGGTTTGCAATGATTTAAACGGTACTTTACAAAACCTTACGAAAATGATTGCATCGTAGAAAGACAACAATTTTACAGAGGTTATCAGTAAATTGAAAAAAAAGAAAAAAACCATTTTTAGATAAAACTGAAAACATCGAACACCATCGAACACTCATGCAATTTAAATGCAACCTTAACTAAAAATTTCAAATTTAATGTCATATAATATAATATAAGAAAATCTGCGGAAAATAGATCACGTTGTACGTCAACTATTCTGTTGGGCTATGGCAAAAGACAACAGAGCAGAGCTGTTGCAAGTATCCTTGGAATTTATTGCTTCTCTTAAACAGAGCTACTGTAAGACTTTAAAAATATCAATCAATGTATTCCGACTGCGAATGCAATTAACGTAGAAGATGTTATTTATGCGATTTCAATCGACTATACCTTTAATAAAATTTGTAGAAAAAAACCAGTAAAGATTGATTTTGACATGTTACTTATCTGCCAATCCGATTGACTTTATTGCTCGTACAAAGTTTGCGGTAGAGTAACCTACAACTTTGAAAACGAAGAATATATTTTAGTTTTATATTCGTTGGAATTTATAATTGAAGCGGATTTTAAAAAATACAATCCATCATTTTATCAATTTTCGTAATTTTACAATTCCTCCCCGTAATGATGGACTTTTCGTATGAAAATGAATATCTTTCCGCTTGTAATACTCGCCCCTGCACACCGCCACAATTATCTATCAAGTACGTAGATTTTAGATCGGGGCAAGAATCGGCACCCGTATCTTAGCCTATCATTCTTTCATCTTTCGCAAAAGATCGAAAAAGTTAATGACGACCTGCGTAAGATAGTCAAGTAAATGTATATTTCAAGCGATCAATATTTGTTGATCTTACATCATATGAAATCACTATAAAATGGATACAGACCCATCTACTGGTATTCCCTCGCATAAAATTTTCATAAAACAATTTGAGATAATAGATTAAAGCAATGGAAATAGAAGTCGCCTTAAAGAGAATACATCTTTCTTGCTCCTGAGTCTTATAAAGTTAATCGATTTGATAGATGAACTTTTCATGTATACTTTCGTGTAGACTTTCGCCGGCAAATTTCCGGGCCTTCACACAAACGCAGATCTCTCAGTGACGCATAAAATAGTAAATAAATACTTGAAGATGAAAGCTTCAGACTAAGCCGCATAAAGTGTTTTTTTTTTTGTTTGTTTTGTTTTATCATCATTTACTTTACTAAGTTTTATTGAATATTTTTTTTTCCATTTTACTATTTTTAGCAAATAAAAATGAAAAAAATGCAGTAAATAAAAAGAGAGAGCATCTGTAAGTCAAACTTGAAAAATAAAAATAAAAAAACTCAAATAATTATTCTGCAGAATGAGACAAATCGAAAAATAAAAAGCCGAATATATCTCCAACAGCTCCGTCGCTTCTATGTCAACGAACAAGAGGTGCAGTGAGTACACTCACTCTGCTGAAACATTTGCCAAGACCCTAAAGAGAACTCTAGACACCCTGTAAAGTACACATATTCTCAATTAGTACGTAATATTTCACGTCAATTTAGGCATGTCCGTCCATTCGTCAATCCATATGTTCGATATCAATGATAAGCATTAAGATATCTGCTTCAAATTTAACGAGTGCCTTAAGAGTACTTGCAAGCCGATCGGTGTTGAAAGTTGTCTCAATCGGTCAAAAGACACGCCTACAATACAGCATTGAACAGGACAGAAGACCTCACTATTTTCCAAACCTAAATAATTAACTCATAGACTGCAGCAGATAGAATAATAGAAATTTGAATGTATATCCTGGGGATGATGTCGCAGCCGTTGTGAAAAGATGGAAAAATCGGTTTAAGTTGATGGATGACGATAAACATTTCGTCATAGTTTTCGTTTTTTCTAATTTAAAGCGAATCCTTCGCATACGTTTACGCAGTAATTTGGCACATGTGGCTGCGTGCAGCTGTTTCAATCGATATGAGTTATTTTGTGTATTTTGCATCCGTATATATACCTCTGCTTAGATATGTATTGGCATTTCATCACGCTAACCGATAACGGGAAGCAACAAAAAAATGAAAAGGCTCCACAAGGAAGGCAAACGGTCTTTGGGCATTTCAATGCACATCTGGAATATTTGTAGTTGATGCCAACTGTTTGCGAACAAAATAACCGCTTCTCTCTTTCTCTTTGTAGTCTATCTTGCACTTATTTGCTGAAAATCGGTAAGCAAAACGAAATTCAGGTTAATTAAAATTGTTTACTCGGTTTCTACCTTCTTGTTTACTTATTTTTTGTGCTTTGTCTTTTGCAAATGTTGTGACGGTGTAAACAAAAATGAAGAAACTTAAGTAAACAAGAGGTAGAATAAAATTTTTGCACAAAATAGTCGGAAACATTGTCCGGGGATTAACATTCCCACAGTATTCCCACAAAGCCATTATTGTAATATTCTAATTGTTTAAGGGTATTTTTTAAGTGAATATGTGAGAACACATATCCAATCATTTGGCATGGCAGAGATAACAGTCTATTTATTATTCCGATTTTAATATGCACACATATCGGTCATTAGATAAGCTATAAAACATATGAAGCGCATAACCTTGATTAGATGCTTTGGTGAGCGTTACGACATAGCTTAACTAGATTAATGTTGCCAACCTTACGCGACTCTTAATTTACTGCTTAGGCAAACGCCACGAGAGTGTTCCTTGATTTATTATAGACGATGTTAATCGGTGAATGGGACTACACTACACTTTTTTTTCTTCCCGTTCCAATAACAGGCAGATTGAAAGACGGGCGGGAAGACAGAAGAAAATGATTAAAGCAAGTCAACATCTTACGATAAATTAGAATATACATGATATACAAAAAGAGTACAATAACTTCCACTTTCCATTCGTTCCCCTTATTAAGAATGTTGAAGTTTTTCCCTTCTTTTACGTTACAATATGCACTGAATCTTCATTGAGAATTGCCGCGAACACGCCATACAATGATGAACGTATTTAGGTATGATGATATCTGATATAAAAAAGCTTCTTCTATTTCTTCTATTTCTTATGGACCATTTTCGTTTTCTAACATTAATGAAATATTAAAAATTATTTACTAACAAAATCACTTCCTTTATACGATGAACTTTTGCGGTCAGAATTTACTAAAGGCCCCTCTATCTAAACGCTTCAACACGTAATTCAACCGTAGTCTGTAACGTTGCACTATTATCTTATCATATGCAAATGAACCAATTCCACTTCTCATAAGATACCGTTACTACCTTCTACCCGATCGTACATTGGAGTTTACACGCGATATTTCTCAGACCTTTGCTTTGGGCAAACAGATGGATGTGATATCTCCGAATATCTCAAAAGCATTCGATGAAGTGATTCGCGAACTTTTGACCTTTACACTTTGCCGATTGGGCTTCCCTGAGAATTTGTTGCTGTGGTTCTTCAACTACCTTGCCGGTGCTGGTTTCATCAGGCATTCCTCTGGGGAGTCATTTGGGCCCTACGCAATTTATTTTATATATTGACGACCTATCTACGTGTGTCCGATTTTCTAAAATTCTTATATTTGCGGATGATGTGAAAATGTGTACTGTTGTTAATTCAATGCTTGACATTGATGGGTTGCAATCTGATTTATCATCATTGAATGGCTGGTGTTCTGTCAACAGTATATCATATAATTTAAGCAAATGCAAAAAAAAAGTCCTTCCATTGCGTGTCTCCACTGCCTACTTGTTATTCTATCATCAATTATGTGCTGGCGAATGTACCTTACTTTAAAGGTTTGGGTGTATTATGTGTATGCTATAATTTCGTTAGCAAAATTAAGTCAATTTGGGGCTTTATTAAGAGATGGGGTACAGAATTTAATGACCCGTATATTTGCAAACGCCCATGCACTGCACTTGCTCATCCGATAAATGGAATATTTTGTCGTTGTGTGGGCACCTTATTATCAATGTCATATTAAGAGAAATTTTCTTCTCTTTGCTTTACGCGGTCTGCCATGGGATTCCGCTAGAATGCTGCCGTCATATGCAAACCAACTTAACCGGATACGGTTCCCGTCTACGACGAGGAGACGAAATACGGATAGTTTTTAAGGTTAAATTGATTCGGAGCTGGGTTTCGTCTTCTCATCTATTAAACATTGCTGACCGCAATGAAGACTCTCTCATTGTTACACCAATTATTTACTTTTTCGCTCTGTAGGCTTTATAAGATGGAATTATTAGTGCTTTGATCATTTTACTGATTGTATTATTACAATTGAAAGTATACCGTTATTACAATGCACATAGTTATAATTTGAAAATTGCATTATATAATGAAATTGTGTTTGCCTTGCTGGCTAATGTAATTAGTTAAATAATTAAATGCCCACTAGAAAGTTGGATTTCGATAAGTTTCTTATATCGGTATTATGATTACTGTTATGAAATTCGATTTTCTAAGATACAGAGT